AAGAAATTTAAGACAAATTATATATGTATGAATTTCAAGAAAGTGAATACAATGAGATTAAAAAAAAATTATTATATAAAGTGAAATTATTAAAGAACTGTGATCATTAAGACTTGCTAAATGTCATGTGTTATATTCATAAATTAAGTTATGCAATTAAATTCTGGACCTTGAGCGTAATAAGTGAGAACTTGATAAGATAGTGCTTCACCTTATCACATTTGCAGTTTACACAGCTGTATGAGCACATTTGATTATGTTAGAATGCCTATTGGTACTTAAAAACCTACATCTACTATCAGATTGGATCACATGGCAAAAATTATATTCAACGGGTGTGGCACATTACCTGCACGTTCGGAAACGGAGTATATTTTAGTATCCAATTGGGCGCCAGTTCCGATGTATTATATATGTATGTGCATACCTTGGTACGAATGTGTGCACATACATATAAATAAATAGATACATTTTGTATGTAGTAGCATGAGTCAAGCTGGAGACACCGTAAAGATAGTAGACAGTGACCTCGCCAACGCCCTTGTCGTCTTTACATTCCCAGTAACTCCCACGTTAACTATTCATTGTTAGCACGCCTGAACATGTTTCACTCGAACGAAAACTCTTTTGTATGCAGTGTAGTTTTTGAATTAAAAACGATTTCACTTTTATTTTAATATAACTTTTCACTGAAAGTTATTTATAACAATGCAAAATCACACACTTTTTGCAGATTCAATTAGAAAAGAAAGTTGACTGTCGGCGGCCATCACAATTTACAGTTTTAGTAGTTTTATTTTGTATTACACAGCTGTCTCTTTATGAACGAGAGAAACACGTAATGGTGTGAGCCGGCTTCGACATTAATATTTCCGGCATGCAGAAACACACAAACGCAGCCATATGAGTGCATTTGCGCAAATGTAGAATCGAAAATTAACTAAGCGCTTGGATTTTCGAACATACACCAAATAACTAGATACTTGGATTCATAAACTATAAAAATTTAAAGTAAATACCTCAATGGCTAAATATTAAAAAGCTATTGGTTGTGTAGGTGGGGAACTGGCTTATTTTCTAAACATGGTTATATTTGCCGCACCCTAAATGATAGTCATAATACATACATACATACATGTACTATGTATATACACATTATCATATGCAATATTATATATCTATACATACATATTTTAACATGCATACATACTTACGTCTATGCATATGTATAGAGTGGACAACGCTGCCTACATTTGAACTTGACTCATTTTATGCTCTTCCGCCCTTGTCCTTTTCGCACTCTTTAATTCAAGAAATCCAAGTTTGTAACCGTTAATTCGTTTCAGTTAGTTGCCTTTATATAGATGCACACTTATATACATGCACGCATGAAGAATTGTAGCAAAATGCCGGTTTTGGCGAAGAAGCTCTTTTATGGTATCGGCTGGGAACATCTGTCCCCTCCACTTTATCTTTTTTCCACTACTTGTTCTCCTATAGTAGTCTAACTCACTCACACCAATGTGTTGTTCACGCGCTACAAACATGATAAATAGAAAAATGAAGTTACTTCTTTTTTGCCAGTAGGGGCAATTCGAGAAATCGCGTTACGATTTTTCACTGCTGTACAGCAAACATGACCATATATGGTCACGAAAATGGTATCGCTTATACTAGAGCTCCGAACTGCTAGTGAGATTAGAGAGCGACAAGTGAGGGTTAATCGAAAACACGATTCAGCGAGGTAGTTTGTTTGGAAGTTATTGCGCTCTCAGTCACTCTATTGTACAGGAAACCAGTGTTTAGCCGGAAAGAAAGAGTCGTGTAGATTTCTGTTTCGCTGCCACTTTGCTCGTTTATTTTCGAAAAAGCGGAGAGGTGCACTCGCTACTCGTTTTGTTCACTCGTTGATATCTAGAAATTTTAACTGACATTTTCTACTTAACGGCGTCCCATTCGTTGTTGGACTGTCAAAGTGTTTAGTTGAACTTCTCCAATTAATTTTCAAGCTGAGATTTTCTAGTTTGCCAAGTCAGAATTCTTAAAACAACCGTGGAATTTTAACAACGCTTCTAGTGTGTCAATTTATGAATTTAGATTTTGTTTTAAACTAAACTTATAAAAGGTGAGATATATTGTGCGAATATATTCATACCGGTTATATAATAGGTTTTTTTTCACTTATGTACGTACCTTATGTACTATATACATATTGATCCGGCCGGCATTCGGAAATGATTGTGGTAGTTATCCGTTTTTTTTGCTGATTATTTTTTTTATACATCTTTTAAGTCGGGCGTTGCCCTTTGAAAATGCTTGCATTGATTTTACCATTTTTGAATGGAAGTTTTAAACAATCGCACAATTGCGCAGATTTTAAATTATAATAATGAACAATTGTATTTGTTTTATCCAAAGCGATTTTTTTATTTTATTAATTTTTAAAATTACTAGATTGCTTCGATTTATATTTCAAAGGTTGTCACATTTATACTGAAATTGTAGTGAGTTTTGTTGAAATTTCATGTTTTCCTCTATATTCGCGCGGTTGCTTGAATATCGTTTTGTAAATAATTTCGCTTTTTCCAAATTATATATTGTACCAAAAAGACTTTTCGTTAAAATTGGCAATAAAAAGTCTAAACTTCGTTGTGACTTTTATAAGGGAAAGGAGTCTAAGAAGCGGCACTTTAAATTAAAAAGTCAATAAATACATAGCAAATTGGATTTCGTAACAAATGCGTGTATTTCAGAACTAATAAATTTTTTTTTTGTTTTCAGAAAACAAAATGTGTGACGAAGAAGTTGCTGCCTTGGTTGTTGACAATGGTTCTGGTATGTGCAAGGCCGGTTTCGCTGGTGACGATGCACCCCGCGCTGTCTTCCCTTCAATTGTGGGTCGCCCACGTCATCAAGGTGTGATGGTTGGTATGGGACAGAAGGACTCATATGTCGGTGATGAAGCACAGAGCAAACGTGGTATCTTAACCCTGAAATACCCCATTGAACACGGTATTGTAACCAACTGGGATGATATGGAAAAAATCTGGCATCACACCTTTTACAATGAACTGCGTGTCGCTCCCGAGGAACACCCAGTCCTGTTGACTGAAGCCCCATTGAATCCAAAGGCTAACCGTGAGAAGATGACACAGATCATGTTCGAAACCTTCAACACACCCGCCATGTATGTGGCCATCCAGGCCGTACTTTCCCTGTATGCTTCTGGTCGTACCACTGGTATTGTGCTGGATTCTGGTGATGGTGTCTCACACACTGTTCCCATCTATGAAGGTTATGCCCTGCCACATGCTATCCTTCGTTTGGATTTGGCTGGTCGCGATTTAACCGACTACCTAATGAAGATCTTGACTGAACGTGGTTACTCATTCACAACCACTGCCGAACGCGAAATTGTTCGTGATATTAAGGAAAAATTGTGCTATGTCGCACTCGACTTCGAACAAGAGATGGCCACCGCTGCATCCAGCTCGTCATTGGAGAAATCATATGAATTGCCCGATGGTCAAGTGATCACCATTGGCAATGAACGTTTCCGCTGCCCAGAAGCTCTCTTCCAACCATCATTCTTGGGTATGGAAGCCTCCGGTATCCACGAAACCACATACAACTCCATCATGAAGTGTGATGTTGACATCCGTAAGGATCTGTATGCCAACACTGTGCTTTCTGGTGGTACCACCATGTACCCAGGTATTGCTGACCGTATGCAAAAGGAAATCACCGCTTTGGCTCCATCAACAATGAAGATCAAGATCATTGCACCACCAGAACGCAAATACTCCGTATGGATCGGTGGTTCTATCCTTGCTTCTTTGTCTACCTTCCAACAGATGTGGATTTCGAAACAAGAATACGATGAATCCGGCCCATCAATTGTGCACAGGAAATGCTTCTAAACTGGTTAATGGTATTTTACATAACATAACCAAACAAAATTCTAGAATTTTAAAGCATTTTTTTAAGTTTTCATTCAAATGTATTATTTTCTAATTATTTAAAATGTTACAAAAACTTGAGAGGAAAGAATAAGATTGGCAAACTCTTCTTGTCATTCATTCGTCTACGTACGAGTGGGACTTGAGGGGGACATTATAACCAAAAATCTAAAATGTCGATTTTTTTTTCTTTATTTGGAAGTTTTCTAAATTCAAGCGTACACAAATTAATGAGTTCCATATGAAGTTAAATACATCTTCATTAATGCATAAACACACATTTCACAAAATGTTTTCATTACATTTACATATGTATTCATGTGCACCATAAACATAAAAAGACGTTTTGTGTTCTACTTCATAAACACCAAGTTAGTGCTCAAATAGAAGCTTACGCATGCATACGTATAAATTCGTAGCTTCAAAATGACGCAACTTTCCATTTTTATACTTGCAAACAATGTAATGAATATTTTTAATTTCATTTTGATTTTAATTACATGCGTATTGATTTTCTTACGCTAAAATGTTAATTAAACAAAAAATTACTAAAGACTTGAACAACAAAAATATTAATAAAAAAGAAATATTTTCTTAAACAAGAAAGACTTTGCCATCTGGCCCAATTTTTCATTATTAAGATGGTAAGGTGCCGTCTGAGAAACATGTACCATATGCATAAATTGTAACCATGTACCATCTCGTGGAAATTAAGAAGGATTTTCATTTTTGTCTCCACAACTATGCATATGTGTATATTTTTCCGACCTATATGGTTGAGATTTGATGTAAAGGAGATTAGTTTGCGAAGGATGGATAAAACGCATTAAATTGAGACTACAAGTATAGGACAACAAATAACAAGAAAATAATTGTAATAAATTTGTCAACAAAAATAAACCAAGACATAAAAATAAAGTATGTATCTTTTTATTACTGTAAGATAGAACTTTTATAGGAAGTCGCTAAACAATCCATTTGGACTAATTCAAAAAATGATAGATATATTTTTTTGATAGACGATGGTGCATTAAATACATGATATGATGTGTTAATGTGTTATTCCAAAAGAATTATATAGACGATAGTGTAAGATATTTGAATTATATGAATGTAGCATACAATTTATCATAAATAAAGTAGGTTACAAAGCGCAAAATCAGCACACTTCCGATTAACTTGATGAAAAAGTGCAATACTTTATAGATTTTCATGCGTGTTAATGCCTCTTGAGAACATGTTGCCGGTTCATTCAACAGAAATACTCTTGCGCCACGTATACCCGCACGGAAAAATTGTTCGTAATCCAGATCTTTGTATTGTAAGAACCCAAATTTGTCGCTTCAGTATTAGAAAGATTTGAAACATTTTGTAGTTATTAGTAAGAAAGTAGTAGTCACAGAAAGTTATATAAACCACAAATACTTACACTTCGGATTCTGGTATAAAAGAATTCAATTCATAGAAATTGTCGTTCTTGAAGTCCCACTGAGTGGTTACGAAAAAATGCAAGGCTAATGTGGCAGCATAAATACGTCTTTGCAATTTTAAAAGGCTGTAAAATGGAATAGGTACGTTATATATTTTTTTTATAAATATTTTAACATTACCACTGACTTTAAAACTTACAATGGTTTTGTATTAGTAAACCGCAAGGCAAAGTCTGCAAATATTGCCACCAAAATGTGTAGAGTAAAGAACTGAAATCAATTTAAAAACATCATTTTTCTTCTTATTTTTCAATAAAAAATTATAAGACATAATTATCCTTTCTATAAACAACAATGCGTTTATATATATTAAATATTTTTACTACATACCCGTATCATATTCCACACCGGGCACCGCGTGATGCTTCCATCTGGTACCCACAATGTCTTTTCAAAAGGAGTTTCTTTTATAACTTTTTTGCCGATTTCGATGACTTCGCCAGTGGTTATGGGACGAATTTTTGAAGCAGCGCCATTAACTACTTCCAATTTCGGTTCATCATTATCTCTAATATTATCGAATACAAGTAAAGAATACCTTATTATATCCTGAAATACAATATTACACTTGACTAACCTATTCTCAAGACCCTTACGATACGTAGCAATTAGCATGGCACGCACAACTATATCAACTGGTACAAAGTCAGAAATAATGTTTGGTTCCCCATAGCTTGTACGAAATATACCAATGCCACAAGCAACTAGCATTCCAATGGGACCGTTAAAGTTATCCACCCACCCTGGAACAGGTTCTTCAATCGATGAAATAACTGCGAAAAATTTAAGATGTAGCCAATATGTAATCAATGTTATAAATATTATATATATGTAAGTGTGCATATGTATATATACCTATTGAAGGTCGAAATATCAGTAAAGGCAGTTTGTCTTTATACTCCTTGATAATTTGTTCGGCTAAACTTTTCGTAAATGTGTACGTGTTTGGCTGAAAGTCGCCGTATCTGGATATTGCGCGAAAACAACAGAACTATTCATTATTCGAATATTAAAACAGCTTAGAATCACTTACTTTAGATTGAAAACGTTCAACAATTCAGTATCATAAGTTTCGGCCAGTTTAATAGTTGTGCGCCAATCTGCATAAGGTGGGTAAAACTAGAAACACATTGGACTTTTTTTATTTTCCCATTATTAATAGACAAACTATACCTGTTCTTCAATAACTCGCCGATTTGGATAACAGTAAGTGGTGGAAACGTGCATAAAGACCTTCAGATGCTTAAGAATTTCTGCGATTTTGATCAGCTCATAAGTACCGCGTGTATTCATAAGAATAGCATCGCGCAATGGATCATCGAATCTGAAAATGTATTCAAACGTAATTACCATTTGTTAAGTATTATTTTATATAAATATATTTTGAAAAATGTAAATGTATTATTTCAAGACACAAAGTTGGAAAGAGTTTACTCCATATTTACCACATTACAACAAAAATGTGTATTATAAATAATTTTTTGATTTGTATATGTGAAGTATAAATAAGTAAATCGAGTTTCCCTTACTGGCGGAAAAGAAGAAATAACGCCACAAATGTACAAAATGTTTCAAAATTATATTTATGTATGGTAAATAAGGGAAAAAACTGTTGCTAGCAATATGACTATTTAAATAGAAGCAACTTTATATGAAATAATTAAAATATAGGTTGAATTCAATTAAAAGATAAATTATGAAATAAACAAAATATTATGTACATATGCATATGAATTTATGTGTTGGCATTACCTTACACTAGCAGCTGAATGGTAAATAATGTTCACATTTTCTAATCGTCTCAAATCAGATGCACAAATGCCCAAACCTAGTTCACTGCAATCACCTGCAATAGCATGTACTTTCTTTAAGTTTTGAGGTTGTTCTCGTCTAAGACGGGCAAATAGTTGAGAATCTAATATATTATTTAAACGCTCCTCAATAGTTTTTCCTTTTTTCGGTCGTAGCAGAACGTAGACGGCACCTACATTTGCGCAAGAGCGCAAAATTTTTTCAATGAGACCCTTTCCTATAAAACCTGAAATTGTTTTTAAAACGTCAGAACATTATGTGGATTATATATGATTTTCAAACTTACCTGACCCCCCGGTAATAAAAATCTCCTGGTTTTCAAAAAATTGTGATATAAGCATTTTATACCTGAAAGCATTAAAAATTACAGTTGAATTAGTACATAAAAATTGTTGAAAGTTTACTATATATAGAATAATACATATAATTTTAAGCACAGCGAGCTGTCTATGAAAAAAGCTTTTGTAAGCAGGGTTCATTTTAATTGAACTCTATGTTACGATTCGTATTTAAAATTATATGCATATTAACATTTTCAATACGAAAACGTTGACATTGTACTTGGGTGTTTGATAAGAGCCGTTGACGCAACAATCTAATTTCAATTAACATATTTTTGTCATCAAAAACTTATTATAAATGCAAATTTGGAATTAACGGTGCATTAACCTAAACTTCTTCAGATATGAATAGTAAGCACATGCGCATACATCACGCTTAATATGTAAATTTTTGTCAAAAATGCATATTTAAATAATTAAAATTAAATTTATGTAAAAAAAATATCCATTTCCTATATATTTAAGCTAAGAAATAATTTTACCGGGCTTTTTAAATTTTTAACAACTACAATTTTTCGTACGCATAATTTTTAATTCATTGTCCGATAAGAGTTAAAAACAGTTGAGAAGTTTTGGAACATTTTGTTTAATAATTACAAAAGCTCTAACTAATAACTATCACTTTTATCGCAACACATTTTATTTTTGAAAGAACTGTACTCAGCATTTTATACGTATTGAAATCATAACATTATATTCACATTTTATGCACATTTTGTGTAAAAGGGCATAATATGATATATAAAATATTTTACAATTGTTTATTTTGAGTTAAAAAACCACACTTCAAATTATTAATACATACTGTTAACAATGTCCTTTTGTATCCTGTATGTAGTTGTAGTACTGTATCCTGTTGCAGTTGTATCCCTGTTCAGTAAAATTAAGCGAAAATAGCTTCACACTTTGTCAGCTGTGTACTTCAGAATCGTTCAACACAAACTGATTATAATTCTAGCCATAGTGACTTTATTTTTTAAATCAATTTCATTTAATTCCATTTTTACTAGTTCATGAATAAGTTTAAATTGGATTTTGCTGCCAAGCAATGAATGCAAATTACATTCGAACTTACATGTTTGAATATTTGGTTTTAAGTACATTTGTACATAAAATGCAATAGTGCGAATGTGCAAATTAATTTCGATTTAATATTTTGAAAATAATTACTTTTTAATGTATATAAGCAAAATTATAATACAGAAATAGAGTATTTAAAATCACAGGCAAGGAAATTAAATCGATATTTTTTTTACACAATTAATCGATACACAACTTATTTCGTTAATAACTAATTCAAGTTATTTATAGTTTTACAATATTTTGTATGGTTATTAATTATTATATATATTTAATATTTAAATGAAAACAACTTATTCAATTACTGTTGAATACAAAATTTTGTTCTTATTCATCCAAGAATTAAATCATAAGAACCAATTCGTAAACAACCCGGTACATTTCATTTCGAACAACACTAATGTCAAACAAGCGTAGACAAAAAAAATTTTCCTAATAGTTGGTCGACTGTCAAACCAGCAAAGTAAGAAAAATTACAATTTTTGGCATCAATTTTAAAGAAAATAAATTATTAAGTTACACTCTATTATTAAAAGTTTATTAGACAGAAAGTTCGCAGTATATGATATAAAAGTGAACCACATATACATATGCAAAATTAATCTGCCGACTATATATTTATGGTTTTGTACTAGCGTCAGGAGAGAAGGGTGCAAAAGCGCCAGCGCTAAAACCGCATTCAATATAATACTAAAAAATATTCAGTAGAAAATAACAATATTTTTGTTTTGTTATAAAATCGGCAATTAAATGAAGAATGGCTACTACACAGCAGTACTCACTACGTTGGAACAATTATTTTCGACATTTGACATATGCTTTGGACAATCACCGCAACAACGATGATTTTGTTGACGTGAGTTTATGCTGTGATGGACGTAAAATCAAAGCACATAAAGTAGTGCTATCCTCCTGCAGCTCTTATTTCAAAGAAATATTCAGGGACAACCCGCATCCGCACCCAGTAATAATTTTTAAATTTATTAAATTCGAAGATCTCACGTCAATAATTGAGTTTATGTATCAGGTATGCTCAACATTAACATAATTTGAATTAATAAAATGTGCGAGTTCGGATAACGTAAATTTGTAATAAAACATTTTTGGATTTTATTAGGGGGAAGTGAATGTACAGCAGGAAGCATTGCAATCATTTCTTCAAACCGCCGAATTACTTGCTGTGCAAGGTCTTACCGCAGAGGAGAAGGAGAAACCAAAATTGCCTCCGACACCGATTATTGATGAACAAAAACTTATTAAAACTATCCCCAGTACTATTAGAGCCGTGAATGACGTAACGACTGCAACACAGACTACACCGCAGACAATCGAAATACCAACGGCAACTATTTTGCAGCAAACGCAGCCACAGCAACAGCAACATACCGCCACACAGCATCATCATGTACAAACACAAATCCAGCATATTCAAGTGCAACATCCACCGCAACCCCACGTGCAAACCGTGCAAACTCAGGTGCAGCAACAGCAAACAACAACACATCAGCTGCAACATCATCAGCAGCAACAATTGCAACAAACTCATTTAGGTGCGCTGCCTTCAACGAATACGATAAAGAAACGTAAAATGACTTTCTCAGATGATGATGATAACATATACACCACAGAAGGCGTTGATTACGGTGTCAAGGATGATTCTTCGATAGTCAAAAGTAAAAAGAAAAAATTTAATTATGTATTAAACATCTAAATATATAAATGCATATATTTATTAACAAATGAATTTTAAGCTGCGGAAATGACATTCCTACGAGGTACTGTAAAAATGGATATACCCGAATACATAGTTGGCGAAGTTGATGACAGTGAACAGTTGACTGACGGAAGTGCGCAGCATACATCACAAGACGGTGGCACGACGGGCACCCAAAATGTCACACAGTACACATCTGAATATGAAATTCTGACAGAATCAGAAATTGAGGAAAAATTTCATCAAGCTGATGCAGAAAACGCAGAAATAACAATCGAAATGGGTATTTAAAGCTAAAATATTCATATAAATAAATCATTTTTTAAATCGGTTTTAATCTTTATATAGGACGTCTTTTAAATCCAACAACGAGTACACCATCAACAACAACACCTCATACAACGTTAGATGAATCAGGTGGCAGTGTCACTAATGCTGTAGTAAAAATTGATAATAAAGGTGGCGCATCGGCAGGTATGTTAGAAAGTAATTTGATACTAAAAGTTCATTTTTTACTTAACTATGTTATATCCTTGTTTATTGAGTCTTGAATTTAAAAAGTAGTTATGTCCCTATATATTTGAAACTCATTCTGCTTAGGAACCGCTAAAGCTGCATTTATAGATAGATAATTGTGTTATTGTGGTAATTTTAAATAGAAAAAACCAAAATGTATATTTACTAACACTGTCGATTTACAAAACCATTTACAAAATTATATATGTATATCCAAAAGACGCTATAGCAGCATTTTCCAATCCCATACCCTTCATTATGTAACATTATGTTTTTGTAATGGATGTTTATTTATATTAAGTTGATATAGCGCCTCTTAGCTATTTTTTTTTAGATATATTTAGAATTATTTATTTTTTAATTATAAACTTAAAAAGCTAAGCTCAGATTAATAGTTATAAAAACTACATACATAATATTTTTGCAGTAAATTTGTGATCTAAATTTGTGTCTACTACGATGAATATGTCTCCAAATGTTACCATTTTCTTTTCATTCGTTTTTTTCTGACAAAATATTTATACTTCATCGCAATTATATAAACTATTGGCGATTTACAATGCTAGATCACTAGCTTAAAATTATTCTAAATTATAAGACGTATGTAAAAAAAAACAAGTTTAGTTACTGTCAACATAATTTTTGTGCTATTTTTGTGTATTTTTAGATTTGCCAAATAATAAGTGGACAGAATGTCAATTTTGCAAAATGGTCATAACCACGGTTAATCTTTGGAGACATATTCGTACGCAACATACGCCTCAACCGCCCCGTAAATGCGAGCTATGCAACAAAAATTTCAAAAACAAATACAGTCTACGCGAGCACATACGAATTTCGCACGAACAAAAAATCACAGTGAAGTCAGAAAATTGATTGACAATATTTCATTTGCGTCGTTAAATATTTATTTAATAAATGAGTAACTTAGAAAATAACGTAAATAAAAGTAGAGCTCAGCAGCAAATTCCAAGCTCGTTATGAAAATCGTTTTTAACTGCAATCAAGAAAGGCAACTATAAACGACGATGTTAATTTAATACCAGTGAGCAAAGCACATAAATACGTCCAAAAATATGAATAAAATAATGGAACTACCAAAATGAAATTTAAATGAAAAATGCTAGAGATTTAACCTAAAAAGTGCAAAGTAGATTTATTTTAATTAAGCCAGTGTATTCCATTATCCAATTATGAGTTGAAATCGCGTTTAATTTAAAAAACAATGGTCGATTGATTTTGTTAATGATTTTCTTATTTTTTTTAATATAATACATTAACGAATGGTGCGCTGCGCTAACCATAATTATTATTAAACACAAACAATTATACATTTTTTTTTAATTAGATATAAGAAAATATGTTTACAATCGCTTCCTCTTCTGTTTCATTTTACACAAAGAACTCTTTGAAACAAATACTAATATATTATAATTTGAAATATCTAAAGGCACACTTATTCATCATGAAAACTCAGAGAAGGTAATAATGGTTCACATTAAATGTTAGAGCTCGGTTATTGTCTACTGTCAGGCACAAATCTCTTTATTCATAATATTTGCTTATTTTCTAATTTATTCAATCCTAGCAAATACGTGTTCGGCTTAAACTGATAACAATAAAGAAAAAAAATTGAAGTGAGGTAGATGTGTATATCGATGTATAAATTTCATAAATATTTATCATGTTTCAATAATTGAATACAGATGTATGTATAAAGGACATGTATTACAATTTTGTAGGGTATTTAGCGTAAATTAAAACTAAATCAGATTGCTATACATACATAATTATATAATGTAGATGTAGATTTACTTATAAATTAAAAGTGTGTGCATAACGAGAGGAATTAATTAATTTGAAATATTTGCAAAAATTAATATTTTTTGCCGATAAACTATATTTATTAGGGTAATATATAGAATAAATTCCAAAATTTAAATTTAAAAACTGTACAAAAAAATACCTGTATTAAAATTTGGAGAAATTACGAAATGTGAAAATTAAAAATAGAGTAGAATATTTAAATACAGTTTTGACTACCGGAAAATTTAGTTATAAAAAAGTAAGATATTAGAAAATTTCCATATCTCGAGACGATAAGTAACACTTACCATAATAGTACAATTTGCGGACAAAAAAATAAGTATTTTGTATAAAATAACATGAATCAAAATTCACATTTAAATGTTTCATATTTTGCTTGAAAGCCCACCATTATTCTATCAAACACATAATTTTCTTTAAAAAAATAGTTGCAATTTCTGATATTATCAAGGAATTTTTCTTGTGAATATTTTTATAACACATCTCGATTATTAAGTCACATTTATATCATGAGGAAATTATTAAAACCTATAAAATTTACAAAAATAATTAAAACATGAAACACTTAAAAAACACATACATATATAAATAAAAGTAATTGTAATATACTATATACTGAATATATTATATGTATGTAATATTTATAAGCAGGATAGACTTTTATTATAATTTTCAAAAATATAAATGAATGTCGAAAAAATATTTATGCTTATCTTTTATATTATATGTGGGACTGAAGGTGCAACGATCAGCTCAATCAGATCAGAGCTATTCACTATTTTGATTGAATCAAATATTTATACCTGATTTGAAACTGTTCCTTTTGTTCACCTCGCGTGTCGTTGACAGTACTCAACATATTTTATTATAGCTTGGTTGGTGCTAATAAAATAATGTGAAGACTTTATTACATCATAAATATATATGTCATTGTATTGCATGTTATGTACATATAGAAATTTATGGGAGAGTTAAGTATGTAAAAGGCTCTCACCTGGTTTGCATTACAATTTTTCTATATTTATATAGTTCTCTACGATCATCGACTAATAATAGACACTAGATATTTAAATGCACAAGTTAACAAGTTCTTTCTAAATAGTTAAAAATTAATGACCTTTTTATATTTTCACATTTCAGTGGAAGAGCAAAACTTAACATGTAAATTTTGTAAACGAAAATTACAATCGATGAATGCATTACGACGACATATAACTTCACGACACTCGGAAATTTCTGGAAAAGAACACGAGTGTACCATCTGTAGCAAGAGTTTCAAGACGAAATGGTCACTATCAACGCACAATTCACGCTTTCACAGAGATATGCGTGTAACAAAAGAATGCATTAAAATGGAATTCACTTAAGGCACATAACAGCACAACAGCTGATGCAACCGTAATGAATTCCAACAGCAGGTTTTATTGTTGTAAATCCTTTAATTTTAATTCTAGCCATAAAACACATACATGCATACATACATACATATATGTAAATTAAATTCATTATGATATACATATGTTATTACATTAACTTTATAACATATACATATATTGCTTTTTCGAAATAAATAATACTTGACTTTTTAAAAAGGATGTATGTATGTAAATCGAAAATAGAAAAATAAAGAAATAAGTAAAAAAAAAAAAAATAAAATTTTTATTTCCAAATCTAATTATACATGAAATATTATTTAATAAGCTGTAAGACCTGGCAGTGGAAATTTCGCACTGAACTCTTCAACACCGCTACGCAGTTTACTCAGTTTTTCTGCAATCTCTTTATTTGATTTCAAGGTCTGCTTGAAATCCACCAATTTAGGGCCAGAAAGTTTAGTTGTTTCAACACACAATTTTAAAGCGCGATCTATGTAATCCACAACGACATCAATATCAGTCTCCACCAAGCCACGTGTAGTTAGAGCTGGTGTGCCAAGACGTATGCCAGATGGATTCAGTGCAGATTTATCGCCGGGTACAGTGTTTTTGTTACATGCAATATTCACTTCTTCCAAAATATGTTCCGCTTTGGCTCCGGTCAAACCAACATTACGCAAGTCGAGAAGTACTAAATGAACATCAGTGCCACCTGTAGCAACATTATAGCCTCGCTTTATCAAACCATCACAAAGACGACGAGCATTGGTAATCACTTGTCGCTGGTAGTCAGCAAACTCTTTAGTCTGCGCCTGTTTAAAAGCGGTGGCAATTCCAGCAATGGTGTTATTGTGTGGTCCACCTATATATGTAAATTAGTTTTGAATGATTATTTAATAAGTATATTAATATATTTTAAAATGTATAATAATGCTTACGTACTTCACATATAGTGCATATCTACCGGAAATAATCAAGCTACCTACCTTGTAGACCTGGGAACACTGCTCCATTGATGCGATCCTCTAAATCGTATATTACTTTATCGCCATTGGGCAGAACCTTGCGTACACCCTTGCGATAGAAAATGACACCAGCACGTGGTCCCCGCAATGTTTTGTGTGTTGTAGTGCTCACCACATCGGCATACTCAAATGGTGAGGGTATTAAACCCGCTGCCACTAAACCGGCGATATGTGCCATATCGGCAAAAAGATATGAATCGTTTTGGTCACAGATTTTACGGAAGCGGGCATAGTCAAGGCAACGTGAGTAACAAGAAACGCCGGCTATAATTACGCGAGGTCTGAAAAGTTTAGCATTCGCTTCCAACTTATCGTAGTCGATAAGACCTGTACTTGCGTCCACCTTATATGGCATACTCTCAAAATATATCGATGTTGCTGAAATCCTTTTATTAGCAGTCATGAAACCGTGTGTTAAATGACCGCCATCTGGCAAATCAAGACCCATTATACGATCATGGGGTTGACAAAGCGCAGTGTACACGGCAAAGTTAGCTGGCGAGCCCGAATAAGGCTGTACGTTTACACCCCATTCCTCTGGATTGAGACGAAATGCTTCGAGTGCACGTTTTTGTGCAAGTCGTTCTATTTCATCGATAAATTCATTTCCACCATAGTACCGTTTTCCAGGCATGCCTTCGGAGTACTTATTGTGCAGGCAAGAACTTAAGCATTCCAAAACAGATACGGATGTAAAATTTTCACTGGCAATCATTTCTAAGCCAACTGTTTGGCGTTTCTTTTCTGCCTTTATAATGGCGTAAAGTTCAGGGTCACTCTCGCCCACGCCTTCATTCAACAACTTCAAATTTCCAGACATGTTCTAAGAAAATAAATATTATTAATGTAGAAATCAAATGCATTTAGTATGTACTTTTTAAGTATGTATGTACATATAAGTATACATAAAAATAAAGAAAAATTAAAACATTTTTAGAGTATTTAAAAAAAAAAAACTAAATAATTGCTTTTTTATATACTTTTATACCTTTAAAAAATAAAAATAAATTTTGTAATGATCCCGAGCTAAGACTCAAAATATGTCGCTTGTTGTCGGCTATCGAACACTTAGTAATTAGCAGAGTCTATGAACTGTAATCGCATTAGTTATTTCTTCTTTTAAGCTGATAATACACTCGTAGGAAAAATAACAAAGTAATATGTTTTCGGGTCACAGGTTATAGATTTCTGACGTACATATGTTCATATAATGATAAAGTAACGATTGTGCTGATATGTATTATACATCTGCTTGTATCTGGGTTCAAATGAAAATGATACTTTTAAAATATGGTCGCGTAGTAATAACAAGCCTCTCCATAAACATGTTTTTGTTTCTAAATGGTTCAATACTTATGTACATACGTACATACATATATATACTACTTTTATACATAAGGCAAATCACATAATTACAAATTATGTTATAGATCACTGATAATGCAAGTATCATTCAATATAAAAATAAATTGTACAAAACAGGACTTACTCGCAAAAAATAAGCAGCTTGTCAACAGCTTCGAATATTGAATATTTCTGACATAAAAATTTAGTTTACGGTACAAGTTGAATCGTTGCTTAATAATTTGTATATCACGTATATAAATGAGTAAATGCATATAGTATTTAATACATTCAAATAGTACTAATATCAAGTGTAAAAGAGTAAGTGTTTACTAAGTACACTCAATCTTTAAATCTTCGTTTATTTAAAACTTAACAAATCTAATTCTAATAAAGATAAAGGTATTGTTATTAAAGTAGATGCACTTTAATTATTTTTGGAGTACTGGTAGGGATATTCTTAAGTTACTTAGTAAATAAATTCTGAGTATATACTTTCAGATATCTAGGCATTACAATTTTGTTTAAAAAAAATAGAAGAAACGTTAACTTCGGTTGCACCGAAGTTATAATACCCTTCACAGGTTTAAGTTTTCTTACAAGAATTTGATTTTGGCTATTGGTCATCGGCGATTGTAGCGATGCCTTGGATAATAAGCTCCGTCGAATTTCGTAAAGATATATCGACAAATAAACATGAACTTAATTTTGATCGCTCATATGCTGACAAATAAGCAGCTTCTTGTGGAGAAAAAGACGCATGCAAAATTTCAGATCGATATCTCAAAAGTTTAAGCCTATTTTGTAGGCATTCGGCGATACGTTCTGGGTGTTACAAACTTCATGGCAAACTTAATGTAATATGTTCCGCTTGGAGTATAAAAAGCACTTTCATAATAAATAATATAATATGAAACTGCCAAACTATTGCGACTATTGCTGTTGTCAGCCTACTACCTTTGCTTTATAAGAGTATGCGTGTTTTTTATGTTATGTATGTACATATAGAAATTTAAATTATTAGCATTGACAAATACAGACGAATGCCTTAGCTGCATGCATTACAAATATATATGTATATATGTATAATATTTTATAACTTGAAATATTTATACATACATATGTATGTATATTAAACACATTGCAACTTTCAGGCAAGTTCAAAATGTGATATGAGGGTAATGTTCGAAAATTGCAGATTTTATTAACTAATATAGATCAGAAACCCAAGATGTAGAGACTGGAACAAGTTTATATTACCAATCATTAAATCATTGAGCGAAGCTCGTTAAGCTAATACATCTCATGATCATAATTTATACCCAATGTGACCGACGTATTCCTGTTACATACATACACATATACTATCTACTGTAAACTTTACAGTGTAAAGTAGACACTTTAATACGTATAAGGGTTTTTTGTCTGCGGAAGCACTCAATTTTATTAAGAGTACATAGAATCAATGCTAGGATCTATGTATGTATGCACATAAGATGTATCCATATAATTGAAAATATGCATTAGTTTATTTTACTTATTTTTTCTAAATCTTTTATAAAAAAATTTACAGTTTATAGGTGTGCGTAGCTCACCGCATGCGTTGTCGAATTGAAAAGGTGCCGGTGTATCAAACTATTTAGTATACTTTTGATGTATTTACTATAAGGTCTTTGGAAATTTAGTTAATAATTAATACTTACAGTAGAATAATTTGCCGCTAAAACGCCAAATCTTGACCTTTCCTTTTCCAATTGTTTATTATACGAAAAATGTGATTTTTTTGGAGCAGTATTAGCAATTGAAGCTTGAGGAATAAAACGCTGATAAATCGTTTTACTGCCGGCGTTAGATAATTGAGTTCGCTTGCTCAGCGTGTAGATGGCACGAGGTGTAATATTCTGTATTTGCATTTTCGCCTAAAACTTGACCTCAAATTTACCACACATTCAAAGATGTATGTCTTTAGCCGATCGTCGATTTCCAAATACTGAAAAAATAAAATTTCAAAAGATCCATTGATAGTAAATGACAGGGGATCATTGATAACCTTTGACATAAAAAAATAACAGCTTTTTTGCTAAAACTGATAAAGACTAAAGACTTGGAAAGTCTTGGAGAATGTGATAAATATTCTTTGCTATTTCTTTAAATTAGCGTATAAATTATTAAGTAATAATAACATTTGTATGAAATGTACAAAACAAAAACATTTTATACGTTAATCATATTACTTTTCTTTAAAAATTTAAATATATAATTTTTTTAAGAAAAGTATAAAAAATGTAAACTTTCGTAGATGAAAAATGATAGGCAACGAGTATATAAATGCGTTTCGATATGCTTTGAATAATAATTTATCGATAACTGTAAATTGCGGGAATTACTAAATGTTTTTTTGTTTTTTATACAATTATCATTTATTATCTCATCTCTAGCATAAAATATAATTGGTTTTTCATTGATTTCGAAAATTACGCGCCGTATATGAATATGGATATATTAAATCCACAAGAAAACGACGGTATAGGTCTGATAATAGAACCTGGATATACATGGAATGAAATGCGTGAGAACGTAATGAATTCTTGTTTAAAAAAAAAGTTTCATATCATTTTAGACGGAGATCACAAAACAGATGAAGTATGTCATACTAATAGTTTACTTGTATATATTTTACAAATATGTATGTTATTGTAGGTGTACAGAAAAATACTGGATTTGTTAAACTCCGAATTGAACTTAGATGAAATAACCAGCCTTTTCGTTATTGTTGGCACTCTTTACTTTATTGAAGCTACACCTCTAAACATGGAATGGCGTACACAACTTTTGCAAAAAACATTTAACTACACAGACACATTAAGCCCAATGCACGTAAGGGATGCGCTATGCGGTTAAAAAAATTTGAATTTGCAACGAATCCTTTACATATTTTTCTCTATATTTAGCTTCATTTAGCGACTAAACGACTTTGGACAAGTCTAAAAAAAAAGGAGACGGACGTGTTCAATATACTTGAACTTTGTAATCAAATGGTTATCATAAGTGAAACAGCTAGAGCTATTTCTATTTGTCTTATGTGGACCATACTCTCTGAAATAACAGAAACTCCTAGCGAAATGTATTGCTTCAGGCAGGTAAGAAAGTTTATTATATATATGTTTGATATTATGGAAAAGTAAAAATTTGCTTATAGTTCATGAAGTTACTCGAAATGCTGAATAATATAGAAAATGAGACACTGCAGGAGGAGGAAAATACTAAAATTGTTTATATTTTAGTGCGAGTTTTAAGTTATCTTATAAATGTCATTCTCTGTGATGCTCAAAATGAGGATATTATTAAAGCCGGCTACCGCATGTACTTTAAATACACTTCTTCATTTTTAAAGCAACTTTTGAATTGGTGCGAAAATTTTAAAAAGACTATAGATTCCTGCCCAAAACCAAAGCAAATTCAAACTGATTGGGATCTCCGTATGATGGTAGGTATATTGCAATTTATTACAATCGCAAATTATATGTTTTATTTTGCAGATTACTGAGCACATCAGCTTTAATATCATTAATGTTCTTCAAGATAGAATAGAACAGATGAGTGCACCGGATTATACCTAGGATAAATTTAAGTTAGAAGTTTTACATAATTCAGCTAATTATGTATATGTATAATTTTTTAAGTACTATATGTTTTTGTATATAAACTACATTTAATGTATTGCACACGAAATAAAATTTTGTCATTTAAAACGTTGTATAAACGTATTATATGAGTCTGTACAATTGTAAGCTTTAATATTTTTCACTAATAAATTAGTAAAAATTTGTCTGCAAATCGCGACGAGCGCATGTCGATTTTGAGCCAATAAAATATCGATATACACTAACTGATAAGACTTTCAGGACCCTACAAAATGAATCTAATTACCATTATTATTTACGCCGAATGTTAATACAGTATACACAATTTTTTATTTATCTAGCATTTCAGGTTGTTGTTCACTTTCAATTTATTAGCTTTTCTTAAATCGGTAAGTTGAGAAACTTCTGTTGCAATTAGACATTAGTATCAACTCTGTGTACTTCGAAATTCGACATTCGAAAACACAATGACAATTTTCTCTAGTGAAGCTTTTGCATAGTCATTTCTATCAAAAACATTTGCGAGGCATTGTTTCATTAAAGTAAGTTATTAAATAAAATATTCCGCGATGACCGTCACAAATCGGGTAAGTTATTTTCTTTACTAAATACAAATTTATCTATATACATTCTATAACTAAATAATATCACAGATGGAAATCGACGCCGCTCTCAAAGGAGAAGGATTCCGTTCTTACTATATTCAGAAGATAGAAGAATTGCAATTAATTGTTGCTGAAAAGAGTCAAAATTTACGACGTTTGCAAGCTCAGCGCAATGAGCTCAATGCAAAAGGTAATTGTCCTATAAAGCTGAAATGTATACTTTGTTTTAATTGTTTTCTTTTCACACATTTAGTACGTATGCTACGTGAGGAGCTTCAGTTATTACAGGAACAAGGCAGTTATGTTGGTGAAGTCGTGAAACCAATGGATAAAAAGAAAGTGTTGGTAAAAGTGCATCCAGAGGGCAAATTTGTAGTTGATATAGATAAAAATATCGATATCAATGATGTTACTCCCAACTGCCGTGTAGCTCTTAGAAACGAAAGCTATACTCTACATAAAATTCTACCAAATAAAGTTGACCCATTGGTTTCCCTTATGATGGTTGAAAAAGTCCCTGACTCTACCTATGAAATGGTTGGTGGATTAGACAAGCAAATTAAAGAAATCAAGGAAGTTATTGAATTACCGGTGAAGCATCCAGAATTGTTCGACGCATTAGGTATAGCTCAGCCAAAGGGTGTACTACTTTATGGGCCACCTGGCACTGGAAAAACTCTTTTGGCCCGTGCAGTGGCTCATCATACCGAATGTACATTTATCCGAGTGTCTGGGTCGGAATTGGTGCAAAAGTTTATTGGCGAAGGTTCACGTATGGTTCGTGAACTGTTCGTAATGGCACGAGAGCACGCTCCTTCTATTATTTTTATGGATGAAATTGATTCAATTGGTTCCTCAAGAATCGAATCAGGTTCTGGCGGTGACTCCGAAGTGCAAAGAACGATGTTGGAGTTGCTTAATCAATTGGACGGTTTTGAAGCTACAAAGAATATTAAAGTTATCATGGCAACGAATCGTATTGATATTCTGGATCCAGCTCTTCTAAGACCAGGCCGTATTGATCGTAAGATTGAATTCCCTCCACCAAATGAGGAAGCTCGTTTGGATATTTTGAAAATTCATTCCAGAAAAATGAACTTAACTAGAGGCATAAATTTACGAAAAATAGCTGAATTAATGCCAGGAGCATCGGGTGCTGAAGTGAAAGGTGTCTGTACAGAAGCGGGTATGTATGCCTTACGTGAACGGCGTGTACATGTCACACAAGAAGACTTTGAAATGGCCGTTGCGAAAGTAATGCAAAAGGATTCGGAAAAAAATATGTCGATTAAAAAGTTGTGGAAGTAAAATTTAAAAAACAAGAAACAAATTAAAAAATTGTATTTCAAATATAGAATTTATAAAAAAAAAAAATTAATTGCAAATCATTGTTGTTGTATTAAGGGTTCAAAAGTACGTTTTAATTTAAGTTAATTTTCGTATCCAATTATAAATTCGTTTGTTTTATAAAATAACACCACCAGATTTATATTACACCATCGTGTCATATATAATATAAAAATATCTTTTATTTCGTTCAGTTTTAAGTCAATTTCAAATCGAAATATCTTTTTTTTATTGATAAATAGAGAAAATTTTTTAAACAGATCATACCGAAGGTCATTATAATTTAAATTTAAATAGTTTGAAACGATATTAACGAAAGATACAGGTAAGAAAATAATCTGTATATGTGATTTATATGGATCTACATCAGGTTTTGAGTAATTCGTAAATATCATTATTATCGGCCACATCGAGACTCGATTGTCCATCTGCGTCTTTAGTAGCTGGATCCGCATTAGCATCAAGTAGTAAACGGATACAGTCGACATGACCGCAACTGGCGGCATAATGCAACGCTGTCTGTTGCTCTGAATCGCGTAGGTTGACATCGACGCCATTATCTATTAGATATTTTAGTATTTCGACAGCATTACGGTCAGTGGCCCAATGTATAAGACCCATACCATTTTCGTCGAGGTTATCCATAATTTCTACCGTTAATGATTTTTGCAGTTGAATGAAATTACCTTCTTTGATGTAGTCAAAGGCATTTTTTTCGTGTTCCTCTTTTTGCTCGATTTCTTCTTGTTTTTGTGGAATGGAATGTACTACCCAACTAGATGGAGTTTTGCATTTGCTGGTGCTTTCGTGATTTGGTATCCAATTATTGTCAACCGCTTTAACTTTTGCAATATATAAATTTTTCGCATCTGTGCAAGACATATCGCCCAAATCATTCCATGCGCACCATTTGCTCCTACTTTGCATATTAAATAAGCTCGGCTTTGACGTGTTACACCGACCACAAGTTGCTTGCTTGTATAAACCATAGATTTCTAAAAGGTCTGTGGACTCGAGTGAGTTGTGAATTTTTTGTAAATGTTCTGCTGCTTTCGAAAATATTTCATCGATAGGTTCGGTGTCAATGTCACTGTCAGAAAAATCGGATGTTGACATTGTGGAAAACTAGTTTTTTATTGTGTTTGTTTCTTTAAGACTTCGGGATCCGTATACTACATAAAGACTTAAGTATAATGCTTTATATAGAGATTTATATTTTAAGATTTCTGAATGTTTAAATAATTGCCCTCAAGCACGTGTTTTTGTTCACTTTCAATTTTCTCAATTGGCGTGATATCATTGAACACCACAAAACCGTATCCACGTGAACAGCCTGTTTTCTTATCGAAAATTACGTTTGCGGATATTACACGACCGAATTCCTTGAAATATGACCGCAGTTCTTGATGACCCACCTAAAATCAGATGAAAATTGTTTCAACTAGCATCCAGTATATATATTCTTTGATTTACCGTCCAAGGTAGATTTCCCACGAATAGTCTTTGCAGGCCCTTGCCTAATTTTACTGCTGTGGCCATTTGCTTAAAATGATATTTATTAAAAACTCAACTCCGCTTTCCTACTTATATTTGTTGCGTAAATTTGTGCACAATTATTTACCGCATAGACATTTCTAGGCTGCCAAAAATAAAAGGTGTAACATAAGTCAATCAAAACAGCTGTTTTAGGGTTGCATATTTTTCACATTAGGCATGTTCGTTCAGAAAAATATTCAGAATTAAAACCAACTAGCAGCTAGCTTCCTGCGAATTTACCGTGTGACTTTCAAATCACACAGCATTGCGGCGCAGAGTTACTTAAGCACTGGCCAGGCACCGTGAAATTCCTGTGAAAATACCTCATGACTTTCAAATCACACAAGATCGCGGCACGGGAGTCTCCAAAGCACTGGTCAGGCACGGTGTCTGCTTTAGTTATATAGCCAACAGTATCCATGGGGGAGTTCCCGAGCATTTTCCAGGCAGAG